CCTCCCCTCCCCTTGCTGGGATCGCAGGGAGCTCCAGTGGCCCAGCTCCGGGCCCAGGCCGTCCCGGGGCAGCAAGCGGCCGCTGCAGGTGTTGGACGCCAGCACCTCTGCACTAGCGACGGGTTGGCTCTTACAGCAGCCCTAAGAGGTTAGAAAACAGGTCCGGTTTTTTCCCAGGGGAAACTGAGTCTCAGCGGAGTCATTAATCCATCCAGGGGGAGCGGGTCAGTAACTCCCTTGTAGAGACAGAATTCCACCCAGTCCTACCCAGTCCAAGTTCACACGCTTTCCACCGGGCAGCTCGCTTTTCTCGGCCCCGAGTCCCTTTACCTGGTAACAGACCTGAGCACCACAGCCTAATTACATACATTCCAATAATTCTGTGTGTGTGTGTGTGTGTGTGTGCGCGCGCGCATGCAAGCGGGGGGCGGGCAGGGGATACGTTTAGTAAAATGTGCTTAAAAGCAGCTTCAGGTTGCTTACTGTATACGCAGCCCAGAAGGGAAAAAAGGGACCTGCTAACTTGGTCTCTTCCTATCCCGCCCGGTTGTGCCAGGGGTCACTTGGGGACATTAATACAGGCCCTTTTGTAAAGTCAGCAGCAGGGAATGCAGTGGATAGTTGGGCAGGTTTGAGTGAAGGGGCCAAATGACATATTGAAGCCAACTACCCCCTTTACTCTTTATAAGGTCAAAATAGAGAACCCTTGTCCCCATGGCAGATGACAATGCATTTGGAAGCTGCAAGTTCATGACAAGCTGTGTTTCTGAAAAGTAAAAAAAATCTCCAGACAAAACCCCAGCTCAGCAGACCTCTCAGCAGCTGCTGGGAAGGCTCAAGCCGTAGAAAGCCCTGCCCCAGGACGGCTGCTCTATACCAGACTTTGCCATAAAGTCCACTTGGGGAAACCACGCGCTTTACCGCAGCCCCGTAATTCTTCCTGTGCCAGGTCACAGCCAGGGCGAAGGCCGTGCGGCAGCTCCCGGGGATGTCCTGGCAGCGAGGCCTGCAGGCCAGGGCTGTGCAGCCTGGAGCTGTGCTAACTCGTATCATTGAGATGAGTAATTTGGAAAAACCCACTAGTATTAGAAGGAAGAGTTAAATTCACTTAGAGAAATTATTTCTCTAAAAGGCACTGAACCCTGGCTGGGTGGCTAAGTTGGTTGGAGCGTCGTCCCGATACCAAAAGGGGCAACCAATGTTTCTCACATTGATATTTTTCTCTCCCTCCCTCTTTAAAAATCAATAAAAACATATCCTCAGGTGAGGATTTAAAGAATTTTTAAAAAAAAGGCACTGAGTGGCCCCAGCAGCATGCCCACCTGTCACACAGGCTGCCAGATTCTGGCCAAGATGCCGCAGGTCCTGCCTCTCATTGCGCGGAGGGGCCCAGGTGGCACTGGGCTAGCTGGTAAGGTGGGTGGTATGCTAGCAGTGGCCCTCAAGCCTTTTTCTTTTTTTTTTTTTTAATGTATCTTTATTGATTTCAGAGAGAGGAAAGGAGAGGGAGAGATAGAAACATCAATGAGGAGAGAGTCATTGATCGGCTAGCCTACAACCCAGGCATGTGCCCTGACCGGGAATCGAACCCTGATTGCCTGGATCCTAGGTCGATGCGCAACCGCTGAGCCACGCCTGGCCGGGCAGGCCTTTTTCTTTTTTAATCAATAGACCTTTTTCTGACCTGGAGACCGGGTGAAAACCATCTCTTTACAAATGACTAGAGCTTGGACCTTCTGACTGTCCTCTCCCTGCCCTCCCCCTTCCCATAAGCTGTCTGGTAACCAGGGGCAGGTATCCCAAGCAGATCAGCTCAGGATTTTTTTTAAAAAGCTAGGTAATTTTCTGTACCTTCCTAGAATGTAAGCAGGTAGTACATATAGAAAGCTTCAGATTCTTGATAAACCTTTGATGGGAGATTCAACTCTCAAGAATTACCCTAAAAGCCTTCAATGCGGAACACGTGGCTACCTACAGAGATGTCGCTGCTGCCCCAACCGTGAGCGCAGGACTGACAGTTCTAGGGGTTCAGCAGTGAGCGAAGGTGGCCTTTACGAGGGATGAGAGAACGTAGGGACATGGAAATAGGCTCATGATCAAGTGACAAGATGTGTGTACAGAAAGGTCCCATGTTTGTAAAAACCAACCAAAAAAAACATGTACCTACATACATAGAAGACGCCAATATTTTAGTTGTAGGACTATGGGGCATTTTCTTTTTTGCTCACTTGCCAGACAATATAGACACACCTAAGAAGGAAAAAAAAATCCCTCCCAGAAACTACACGTGGGGATTAGGAGTTTCCCAGGGCCCCCCAACCTGGGTCCCTCTTCACAGCGCAGGGCCAGGTGGGAGCCCTGGACAAGGAGACGGGCGCTAGACTTTGCTGGGCACCCACTTTGCAGTCATTGGAAGAGGGCTTCCAAGAAGTAGGCTTGATGTCATGGCCTCAGGGGACATCACAAGGACCTGAGGTCAGTGAACTCAAGGTGTTTGTGGCACCATCTGCAGGCAGCTTGGCCCTGTGGCCCCAGAGGGCCAGCTTCTGGGTGGTGACTGGCCCTGCCCCTTATAGTCTAACTCAGGGTCTGGCTTAGGTGACCTGCCGCCAGGCCCCAGGGAGCAGCCACCCACCACCCCTCTTCCCCATGGGTGTTGGGCTCACGTTTACTGGGGCTCCTCCTGCCTCATGCTGTGGTTTAATCACCCCCACCTCAAGCCTGGAGGAAGGTCCTGTTACTTCAGTTAAACCAAAGCCCAGAGAAATGCAGACCCACGCTCACCAGGCAGCCACGGCACGGAACTTGTGACACTGGAGAGGCCGCCCTTGCCCACCCCAGTGAGGAACTGGTGCAGCATCTCCAAGGGCTTTCTCAGTGCCCACCCTGTGCCCGCCTGCGGGGACAGCTACTTCAGCCCAGCCACAAGGCCTGGAGGGCCACCTCCTTGCCCAGGCTGGGCTGGGGGTCTGCCATGGACGGGCTGGTGCCGAGCCCAGCTGCTGGATCACCAGGCCATTCGAGTGGGCTCAGCAGAAAACAAGGCCTCTGACCGTGGATGACCCTTGTCCCTGCAGCCCGGGGGCGAGGCCAGGGGTGCTGGCTGGGCCAGGATTTTCTGGAGACAGCTGAGCACTTCCTGCCTGAGCCCTTCCCACGGGCCTAGCTGAGGAGCAGAGGCCAGACAGACTGGAGCAGAGTTCAAAGACTGGTGTCTTTTTTGGTTTTCTTTTGTAAAGAAAAATAAGGTGGTGGTTCTTGTCTGAAAGAAAATGTTAAGTAAACCCCTCCCTGCCCAGCCTCTCCCCTGCCTCTGCGGGTGCTCGGACCCCGGTCCTGGGAGAAAGGGCCAGGCCTGGGGGGCGGTGTGGGCTCTGTGTTGGGGCTGCCTCAGAGCCAGAAAGGAAGCACATTTGAGAATGGAGTTTGGCTTTATTAGACAAAAAATAAAATTAAAAAGTTGACACACATGCCCACTGTACAAATGGGGCCCAGAGACACCATCTCCGAGTTGGAACCATCTCAGGAAGTTGGACGCAGCTCCTGGTGTGGCCCCCAGCGCCCATTCCCCGTGCTCCGGGGAGGACCGGGCAGGAAACAGCTCTCGAGACAGGAGCGGGGAGGGAGAGAAGTCAGAGCAACCTCCTTCCCCGCCTGGTAAAAAAAACTACTAAAAAAGCACCCAAAGCTTAAAAAAACTAGCCCTCCCTGGCCGGGAGGGTTGGGGACATCCTGCTTACCAGCAAAATGCCTCACCTGGCAGAAATGTGTAGAAAAATAAAATTAAACTTTATCCCTGAATGACAGAGTGAAGACCCTTCCTCCTGCCCTCATGACCCCCACCCCCAGTCAGTCTCAGAATTCATCGAGGCAGCCACCCCTCCCCAGGTGGCACAAATGTGCGCACTGTCACACACACACACACACACTGCTCCACATCTCTGTCCAAAGCCCAGGGCAGCAGGGACTTGGCACAAATGTGTGCACTGTCCCACACACACACACACACACACATGCACGCACGCACACACTGTCACACACACACACTGCTCCACATTTCTGTCCAAGGCCCAGGGCAGCAGGGACCGGGGGTCTGACATCCACAGGTACACACAGTCTTTCAGCATCGTGAGGGTCCCTGTGCCACACTGAGGTCCCTCCTTCCCCCTTTAGGGGCAGGACAGGACCCCAGCACCAGGGCAAGGGTGGGGGCAAACCTGCAGCAGCAGCTGGAAGGGCAACGGCAGGGACAGAGGGGAGCTGGGGAGGAAAGAAAGCCAGTCAAGGTGGCCTGAAGGCAAGAGGTCACACTTGGCCCGTGGTGACAGCAGAGTGAGAGGGAGGACAGTGTGGTCTCAGCAGCTGAAAGGAGCCAGGTTCACAGGGGGTGGGGTCCAGTCTCGTCTGTGACCTGCAGGCCACCCTGGGCAGTCCCATGGCACAACCAGGGTGAGAGTTGAGCAAGGCCCCGGTGGGCAGCACAAGTGGAGCCCTGGGTAGTGTTCTCAGGGTAACAGGGCTGTTGCCTGAGGTCGCCAGAGGTAATAAAACAGGGGCACTTGGGCAGAAGGGTGTCTGGGGGCGAGATGTATACACCAGTCCTGAAGGCCCAGCTGGGCCTCTTGAGACCCCTGCCCACCAGGAGAGCCAGAAGCAGACCTGGCCCAGGGCCAGCAGGAAGGGGTAAGATGGGCAGAGGATGCTCGTCCTCAAGGGGGCCTGCCCAAGGAAACGTTTCCCCTGGGCAGGGTCAAGGGCGGGTGACACAGGGACCATCCCTTCCACCTCCCCGGGGAGCCTGAGGCACCCGGTGGGACAGGGGAGTACAGTACTGAGGTGATCGTGGCCCAAGGCGTGTGTTCAGGGACAGCCAGCTCCTGCTGCGGTCACAGTGGTGGGCGTCCCTGCAGGCGGGGCTGGGCATGCAGCCCCTGGGGGAACCCCTGGCTTCGGGGCAGCACCAAACACAACTGATGTCAGCAAGATGAGCGGGAGGAGCGTGACCTCGAAGACCTGCTCAGACCCGCGGTCTGCTGGGTGAGGAGGGGAAGGCAGTCCGAGGACAGGACTCAGTCCAGCAGGTCGAGGGCCCTGGAGAGAGGGCGCAGGCGGCAGGGGCAGCAGCAGGCACCTGGGCACGCCCTCCGGGGCTCCCCGTGCCGGGAGGCTGGGCAGCAGCTCAGCGCAGGCTCTGGTACAGGTAGGCGGAGGTGAAGAGCGCGTTGGCGGTCAAGCTCACGGCCAGGAGGCCCTGGACCAGGGAGGGGACGAAACGACCTTCGAGAGAGTAGAGACCCAGTCAAAGGCACAAATGTCAGAAGATGAACCCAGGGTGGAGGTCTCTGTGCAGCTGAAGGCCCCGGCCCACCAGAGATGCTGCGGAGCCCTGGGGCCCCATCCCAGCTCTTCCCGTGCCCAGAGGCCTCCCCACCTGGAAAGACTCCAGCCCGGGGTCACCTGGTCAAGTCCTGGTCCCTAAAGGCGCCTCCTTTCTGAGCCCGTGCCACCCGACAGGCACTGGCTAGGGTGCCCTGTGCTTGCACCTTGGTGACGGGAGTAGGGATGCGACATCACTTTACAGATGGGGAACAGGGCTTTAGGGGTACAAGAACCCGGCCCAGGTTCAGAGGTAAGCAGCCAACGGGTTCCCCACCTGTTTGGGCTCTGGGGATGACCTCAGTGCTGCCAGGTTACACCCTAGACCCCACCTGATTTGGAGGCAGCACCTAATCTTTCCAGGAAACCTACCTCTGTCCGTCTTCAACACACGTAACCCCCCCCCCCCGCGGG